TTAAGATTGCTGTCAATGCTCTGTTTCGCGGAGAACGAATACTCTGTAATTATGTATTCTCTTCCTCTGTTAACATTAGAGATTCATGTTTCTCCGAGATTTCTAACGATGGTGCTTTAACTCTGTTCTTGTTCCCGGAGATGGTAATGAAGTTCAAAAAGTTATCTCCAGAGAAAATGTTTAGAGTTTTGGATATGTATGAGATTCTTTGTGAGCTCTGGGTTGAGCTCGAATCGATATTCACATTTGATTCAATGGCGGTAGTCAAAGCTCAGGCAATGGCATCACTGAGTAAGCTCGGTGATGCCATTAGAGCTATGTTGTCTGAGTTTGAAATCGCCGTTCAAAAAGATTCCTCGAAGGTGGTGGTTGGTGGTGGAATTCACCCATTAACTCGATATGTTATGAACTATCTTGTTTTCCTTGGTGATTATAGTGGCGCGATTTCTGATATAATTGTTGATTACTCTCCAATGTCAATACAAATGTTGTCGGAGTCTTGCTACCTGAGTCCTACATCTGGGGACGGGGACTCTCCGTCCTCACCCATTGTGGTACGGCTCACGTGGCTCGTGCTCGTCCTTCTATGTAAACTCGATGGTAAAGCACAACTATATAAGGATGTAGGGTTGTCCTATTTGTTCCTAGCGAACAACTTAAACTACGTTGTTTTGAAGGTTAGGGAATCGAACTTGAAGCTTCTTCTTGGATCCGAATGGATTTCAAAGCACGAAATGAAGGTGAAAGAGTATATGTCAAAGTACGAGAGGACAGGGTGGAGCAAAGTAGTTACATCAATACCCGAGAATCTTACGATTGAAATATCACCGTCTGAAGTGAAGGAATACTTCATCAAATTCAACTCGAGTTTTGAAGAGGTGTATCGAAAACAAACTTCATGGGTCATACCTGACCCGAAACTCCGTGACCACATCAAAATATCATTGGCTAGTAAGATTATTTCAATATATCAGGCGTTTTACGAGATGTATCAGGGAGAACTAGACATAGGGACGGAGTCAATTGTCCGATATGCCCCCGATGATTTACAAAATTACTTATCGGATTTATTTCTTGGTGCTAGTTTTTCAGATTCTAGTATGGGGTGGAGTGGGTCATATTCAATGTCCGTGTCAACATCAATATCACAAATTCGATAAATTATGTGTATTTGAAAGTTTACTAGACAAGAGAAGAGTTTGTGTAGATAAAACAAAAAAAAAATGATTTGTTAATTTGTATGTAATTAATTATGCATAGAAACGTTCTATTGAATGGCACAGACTAACAAAACTAAATATATAAATCATTTTGTCTTTACATATTTGTGTGTTTTTATTTACTGTATTAAGTATATTATTTTAGTAGAGTAGTTGACTAATTCCAACGAAAAAATTAAAAACTTGGACGGCTTCTTATATTAAATGTTCTTTTCAATAGGTAAAAAATTAACGTTACGATTGAGAAAGAAAAAAAAAGGTTTTAAATAGTAGTAAAATTTTGGCATGACATGTTAGATAGTACCTAGATAAACCAAGATTTTTTTAGGAATTTATGAAGTAGATGGTGGTTGATAAAAAAACTTTTTTAATTGTCATTTTTCGTATGAATATTTCGTTAAACATGAAATTTGTGATTTGTGATAAAATACTGATTCGTTCGTTGAGATTAATGTGATCTTCATAGAGTTTTCGAGATATTTTTCTATAAAGTTTTGTTGGAATAAAATTAAAGATATGTTAAATATTTCAAACTTTTTTTTTATTTTGTGTTTTTAAACTTGTCGTGCTAAAAAGTTGAAATTAGAAATTTATTAACAAGAATAAGTTTTTCTTTTTAAAATTGAATAGAAAAACAAAGAAAACCATAACAACGAGACATAATTAAGCTTATAATAATAACTAATTAAAAAAAATTCCAAAAAATAAAATGTTGTGAAGGATTGTTTACTCAACAGGATGTCATTATTATTACCACAAATATATATATATATATATATATATATATATATATATATATATATATATATATATATATATATATAAAAGACAATATAATTTTTCTAAGAAATAAATTCATATGGACGTCATTATGTTAATGATTATATGTTTACGTGTGCTTATATAGTGATAAAAGAAGAAACTCAAGCGTTTTTAATTGAATGAAAATTCGTGATCCATCTTAGATTTTTTCTTGATATGTTAATATATTTTTTTTTTAAAAATTAATAGCTCAATTGATTATTTATTTAAATTTTCATTTCATTAGTAAAAATCCAATTTTCACCTTATTGTCTCGCCTATTTTCCTTACCCATGCACTCAATTTAAAAAATAAAACTCCTTAAACTTCGATAGATATTAGTAATACATTACAATACAATATAGGTTTCTTAAATATATTTTTTTTGGGTGAAAAAGATGCATTATATTTCTAAAGGGATAATTAGAAAACCTAATAATGTTTGATATGGAAGAAAATATTTTCCAAAAAATTCAAAGATTGAATGAGAGCATAATATATAGTTGGAAAAAATTTGACCCCATCTTATTAGTTATACTATCTATTTATACACAAGAAAATAACAGAATTCCTAATTCCCCTACCCAAATCCTAATACATGAGGCCAACAATTCCTATATTTAGCATAATCATAATTTATAATATACACATATATATTACCAAATATACATATAACCATTTTGTTTATAGTCAATACCCCAAGTGTTTATAATGTGACACCTAATTAAAGATACTATGAGTGGAAATATAACTAGAAAAAGTAGTTTTAGGAATAGAATGATAATTTATTTCAATATGTTTGATTCAGTCATTAAAGTCCGACAATATGCAATGCTTCTTGGTTGTCACCGTACAATCGAAGAACATAAAGAAACATTCTTGAACTATAATATTTTAAAATTAGGCCTTGACAAGCACAAGCAATATGTCATACTTGAGGCAAAATTAATAACAACACTTGTGTAACCAAAAATTGTCATACTTGAGGCAAAATTGTTTGTAACAAATTACATTTTGATTCTTAAAAATAAGGAAAAAATATTTAATCCCTAGCATGACCCGGCCCAAAAACCAAATATTCCTATTATGAATGCTAATTTAATTTATAGTTTGAAATAAATACATATTGCTACACTAAATAATAATTGTATAGTAGACTTTAAGTCAGATACATCACTCCTTCAGATTTCAAGTCAGATACATGTGCCAAAGATATTAGATACATTCTGAAATACAGATACATGCATAAAGAGAGAGGTGAGTGAGAGAACTGATATAGATATATGAAATTACACTAGATACATATATGTGAGCACCACATACATTTTGAAATATAGTTACATTGGGAGAGAAGTGATTGAGATAGGGCGAGAGAGGGGCAAGCGACAAAGTAAAGAGGTCATTGTGATAGGAGTGAGATGAGCGAGAGTGTAAGTGTATCCAGGATACATGTGAATCACATTTGGATACGATATGTGAAATCAATTGCACCTTATTTGCCTCATATTTATCTCAGATACACGTATCTTAATATGACAGATACTTATATCTAGCAAAGTAAATGTCATATAAAAGGTAATTTCAAAAGCTAGAGTAAAAGCACGTAATTAGGCCTAAAACTAATGGAATTTGTGTTTTTTAGGAGAAACTACGTAATAAGACATACTTCACTACCATATTATCATTATTACCTACACTTCAAAATACTACATATTTTATCACTAATTAAGAGTTCTCTACAATATATTAAGAAAGATATAATTAGATACATGTGTTTTTGCTACCATATACACTAAATAAGGGGGGGGGGGGGGGGAGATTTGTTATGATCCAAGATACATGTTAATCACACTAGATACATGTATATTTGATGTGATTCGCACGTATATGAGACACTAGATATCTTAAATACTTGTGAATCCACTTGACAATGTATCTAGAACAATTACACCTAATTTTGACATCATATATAATTAGATAAGATATGTAATATGCAAACTAAATTGTATCTCAGTAATTAGCTCTAAACTAATAAAATTTATCTTACAATTAATTAAAAGTAGTCCTAGATGAGTCATGAGTCGTCTATGTACTTGTAAATTGGGTCTATTTTGCTAAGGAGACTCAAATTGGTGAGCCTAATCATTACAGCATGGAACACAAAATGAAAATGTTAAAGCTGAATAGCGTAAAAAGATGTTTAAGTGTGGCTGCTGGGATTCGAGCCCAGGTCTCCACGGCCACAACGTGGAATTCTTACCACTAAACTACAGCCACTACATGACAAATTTCTACAACTTTATTTAATATCTTCATCTTTGATAAGTATTTAACATTTGGATAAGAATTTATCTATCTATCTATATATATATATATATATATGAACTCAAATATAAATTCTTTAATTTTTTAAATAAAATCTACATATTTTTAGGAATAACATAAAAAAAAATATACATTATGAATCACAATAGCTGATGTTCTATGATATTTTATTACTAAAATATTAGAAAGAGTTATAATAAAAATAGATATCCTTTGACTTTTGAAATAATAACTAAGACAAACAAATTGAAAACGGTGGACAAATAATAAACTCAGTTAGATAAAGGTTACACCAGCATATGATATTTTCACAGACATGGAATTATCATTTGCCTCATGATAATGGTATTGTAATTTGATCTCCAAGTTTAGGACAATCAAGTTTAAAAATGTTCACATTTTTCTTGTTAACCTACTCAGTGTCCAATACTCACATTTGTTTTTTTACTAATTCAAATCCGATACTCACATTTGATTTTTTTTACTAATTCAGATCCACCACTAACGCTTGGAGTAGCTTAATAGAGTCTTAACTTATTTTGGTTCATTGATCGATTCATCTTATAACAAACATAAAGCCGAACTTTTCTTTCACAAGCCCAGCAGACACGGTGGTCTTAATAGCATCCATATTGTATCTGCTTATACAAGAAATCAGCACTCAAAGAGTCATATTATATAAAACCTGCCATCTTTTTTCCATAAAGCAATGAAATACATCTATTTTAGCTCTGCCAAGATAAAACTGTAGTTTGTTAACAACTCTATCAAAGCTAATTCTTCCTATAGCACCGAGAAACGGGGAAGAATACAAAGAAACTTGAAGGACAAAACTCACAACTTCTATAGCTTATGGGTGTCTATTTCAACAATAGTGAATACCTGAGGCAGGTTGTTAAAATGTGTTTCAAATATTGGATTCAAGTTACTAAAGACCCTACCATAGAAGTCCTATCTATTCCACCTTTAGTCAAATCAGTTATACTGCAAACATCGGAATCTTTCAAGGTCTAGCTATGGATTTCCTTTTGGTGGACTTGAAGCTCTATTTTCTGTCTTCTCCAAACTTAGCGGTGGTTTCATTTGAGTATTATTTAAGAAGCTTCTTGCATAAAGGGCCCCAAACACAATGACCTGAAAAAATGAAATTAACCGTAAAACAACATAAAACAGAAAATGGAAGTTACAGCTTCCAAAGCCAAGAGATGATGAAGTAAAATGCTTACAGCTCCAATGCATTGCTCCCAGCTGAGGGGATGGCCAAACCACAAGCATGACAGCAAAATGCTCAACAACTACATCAAATTTAATTGAGCAGAAGTCATTTTCCTAGGATTGAAAATATTTATGGTGTTTGGTTTGTGAGTGAAAAACATTTTCCATAAAAAATAATATCAGCTAACTGGTGAGTGTTTTGACGAAACTTTTGAATACGAGAGACTAATAATGTCTAAGTGTAAGTTGAAGAAAATAAATCTAAAGTCAAAAGATTAGATAGTCGTAAAGCAAATGACTTTCACGCAGAACAGAACTGGCAATAGCTGGGACATCCATGAAATCTCAGGAGATTGGTACAGGAATCAGAGGTGGATAGTCTATTCCATAGTAGAAGACACAACTGACTCCTTGATCTGGGGACAGAACAAGACTTCCTCTGTGAAAGTGCTACACTCTCGAAATGGGATAATCGACTCCTGGCCTAATATGGAGGGCAAAACTACCATCCAAAGTTTATCTGCTTCAGCTAGATTACCTTAAATGAAGCTTGTCTTTCACAAGATACCCTCAACAGAAGGAAGGGGCTTTTAGTTTGCTCACAGATGTCATACGTGACAAAATAGCCCTAAGACACTTGACCATCTTTTCGTACATTGTGCAATCATTGCTGACCTGTGGAACGTGTTTTTATTTTTGGACTTCTCTGGGTCATGCCACAATGTGAAAGAGGCCTATGATAGTTGAAGTCTATGGAGAGTAATAAAACCATCAAGAAGACTTGGTTAAGATCCCAGCAATAATTCTTCCTTTTTGGGTATTGTGGAGCGATAGTAATTGAAGATGTTCTGATGGAATCTCAACGCCTAACCACTCCATCAAAGCTAGATGTTTACAGCACTGACCATTTTCCGGACTTTGTTAGCTCCCTAGTCATAACTTCATATACAGTTATAAAGAGTTAATTTTGTTACATCTTTTTGCTTACTCTGTACTTTTGTAAGATTGCACCTTCTTGATGATTTCAATTAACGAAATACCTTCACCCAAAAAAACCTTCCACCCATAAGTGAGGGAAGTCATTTTTCTCCTTTTTGACAGAAAAAGCAAAACATCAAAAATGATTTCCGTCATACCAAACTGCAGAAAGTGACCTGGAATTCATTTTCCCCTTCCCTCATATCAAACACACCCTAAGTGGAGAGCATATAACTTTCTCAAACCCTTAAACTATTTCTTATTACCTGTCTTGTGGTCATTATGGTTGCAAAGGTTAGAGCACCAAATGTGCGGATTGTGTACGAAATGAAGAATTGACTAGCTGTTGCTACCTGTAACAAAGAACGTAAACAGATATAATTACATTTTAATGACAGAAACGAGTCTTCGCAATTTGGCAGAGAACAGAGTTTCTCCATTTAAGCAAATCAAGATTTATCTATTTTAAAACAACTTACAGTCGAAAGCAGAGCAATGTCAAAGAAACAATCATGATGGCGAGATATGAAATCAATTGCCATGAGAAGATTGCCTTGCATAATCATACCTAAATGGGAAATAAAACACTAGTCATATCCAGTCATTGAAACATAAACTCGAACATTCTTAATACAAACTTGGGATACTCAAACATTTAAAATGTCATTCAACTGAATATCCTGCCTAACAAAAAAGACAATACACTAGGAGCTGCTGCATATCATTGAACCTTACATTCTTAAGTAGCTGTCAAGAATTTCTGCACTTGTGAATGCAGATGTCCGAGACAGATTACCATCCACGCTCATGTAATAGAAAGGTCAAATAATATGCAGTACACAGCAAGGATGTTATTACGAACATTGAGGAAAATTGGAAGGCACATAACGCTATGAATAGTCAAAATTTTGGATCTAAACTGAAACATAATTCAAGGCCAAACACACTTAAGCTTGGAAGCTAACCAAGTCTTCATACTCATCAGCTGTTGCATGAATTTGCATTTCAGATAATTTATAGAATCAATTTAAATGTTATCAGCAAATATCTACAACAAAAACAACAAACCCAGTGTAATCCCACAAGCGGGGTCTGGGGAGGGTAGTGTGTACGCTGACCTTACCCTAACTTGTGGAGGAAGAGAGGTTTTTTCGCGATAGACCCTCTGCTCAAATTAAGAAAAGAAAGCAATTCAAAGCAGTTCTGGAAAAAAGAAAGTGCGAAAGTGAAGCAGCCAGGGGAAATAATAAGGAAGGATTACATAGCATTCTAAAAGAAAAACAATAACAATAGCTAAATAATACGATAACCAAAGTACAAGAAACAACATAAAGCAACAGAAATCGAAGAACAAGAAACTACGAAAATAACACTAATACTACTGGTATGAAAGGAGAAGCAGATACGGTTGTGTAGAATATCTGCGTGTGTATTTCCACTAGGCCACTAGGCCACACCCTTGAATGCGTAATATTGAATCTTATATCAGCTCAAACATACTACTCATTAGTTGCAGAAACTGGTTTTGCAACTGCAATAAATGAGATCTTACCAGTGAAACTAAGAAGACAAGAACAGACGGTTGTGTAGAATATCTGCGTGTGTATTTCCATATCATAGCCTTTAAAAAGTTTATCCTGGAATGTGCTCGTAAATCCATCAAACCTGTGAGATCAAGTGCTTTATTAAAACCTTGTTTCAGAAGCTAACAAACTACTATTCAATTCTAAGATAACTAAATTTCTCCTTTTAATACAAACTAATGAAATAGAGAACTGAATAAGGGTATATTTGCCTCTTAAGTTAGAATCTTGTATCTGCTTGAGGGGTGAAGGTTTGATATTTTTATTTTTGACTCCTATCTCAAAATAACTCCTCTGCTAGTGAACAATTATAAGAGCTCGTTGAGCAATAGCATCAGGTAAATAGAATTGTAAAAATTTGTTGTGAAAGCAAAAGAGATGGATTTGATATGCCAAGTAACATATAATTTGTTTACCAGAAATTTCACAAAAGATAACTCTCTAGTTTCTATGTATTAATTGTTAGTCATTCATACGGTCTATAAAGCACATTCTGATCTTTTTCCACCTTTGATTGACTTGGATGCTCCAATCATAGAGTATAAGGAGTCAGATTATTTTTTCTGGATATCTTAGCGAATAAGGTGAAAGACAGTATAACAAGGAAGGAAGAAGAGATAACACTATAAGAACCTTTAAGATAAACAAAATTCATTCAAATACATGATATGAGATAGAAAGCTTAAACCTAGTTTTCTAGATCTCTGGCACACATTCTCAAGAAAGTCTCAAGTTATTGAATCCACCTGGTTCTCTTAACATTCATTAATTCAATGACAAAGGTTTAAAATGTTGGATTATATCAATTCATACCCAAGATAGCCCATCATAAGAGAAACTCCCCAAATGGTGCTCTCCCTTTCTCTACTGTATGGGCTAGTGTCCCCTTCTGCCTAGAACCAAAAACAAACTGTAAAAACATTGCCTCGAGGATATAACTGCACAGGAAAATATATTCTGAACACTACCCAGCACAAACGCATGTGCCAGAAACAATAATCTTGTTAGTAAGTCCGTTTATTAGTTTGGAGAATCAGCCGCTAGAACATAATACTGCTTCGGGCTAATAAATTGTACTCCCTCTAGTCCATATTAAGTGAATTATTGGGACTTCTTTCATAGTTCAAAATAAGTGAATAATTCAAATTGCTGGGACTTTTTTCCATATTTAACCTTCATTTAATAAGGTTCTTAACTACTTCACATTTTCTAGGAGACTAGTTTGGAAATAATCAAAAGGGTAATAGTGGAAAGTAGCCTTAATTTATGTCCTTAAGCATTTTTCATACCCCAACATTTCACTTATTATGGACTACAAGGATAAAATACCTGGCTTCAAAACAGTCCCTCAACAAGGTAAACAGTATAATGTCATGCAATCGTTCATTCGAAAGATATGGAATCGGTAAACTATTTGTTCTGGTGTTTCAGGTCAGCATGAAAGTTCTAGGGAGCCTGGAGGTGCAGTAGAAGTTGCCCATTTAATGTCTTCCCAATAAAAGAGTGTTGGAACTTCAACCCAGCAATCCCTCATTCAGAGCTCATAACATATTTAGGCCATTGCACCTGTCCATTAGACATGTATGTCTCCATATCTCCGAGTTTTGAAGATCCATTACAACAACTATACCTTAATCCCAAGCTCTATAGTTTGGGTTCCATTTGGAACCATATTTTTCCAATATCAAATAATTTTTAGGTTGTCTAGCACTAATAGTTCTTCATATTTTCTAATGGCATACAGATGTAGAAGATTAAAATGACTCCAGCAAACATTGGACCTTACAGTAAGCTTACCAACATGATTGTGTCTTAATCTAGATGGTATCTCACATATATGGATCTTTTACTTCCATTGTGTTCTATTTTTCCCTAAATCTGCAAGATTCCCAGAGATTACAAGTCTTACGAGACAACGTCTCCGCTGCTAAATCATGGCTACTAGAAAAGGTTAATACAAAGCAAAAGATTTATGAAGGATTCATGCAAAATAATTCCTATTTGGCTTAGTGGCAATTCAGAGAAACACAAAGGTGATTAGAAGAAGACATTAGTTATTTACCGGATATAGAATAAATAATGAACAGCCAAGTGTGACTAGGAATGCCACGAAATAGTCCTGTCCTTTGTACTTCTTTTGCATGATGATAGTGCCCCAGATCTGCATGAATACAAAAGGCAAAAGTAAGATGAGTATCAAATTGGGAAGCATACTCAATAGGTTACTTGTATAAACAAAACATTGCAGGTGAGACAATGTAAAAATTACGAGATGCAAAGAGGCAGAATAACAAATGAAAAAAGGTAACTTTTAACTTTAGCAAACGAGGGGTTTTATTTGAAATTATATGTCCTAAAATAGCCAAAAGACTACCTAGAAAACACCTTATAACTTTAGTTTTAGTGTTTCACCAGTTAAATTTTTCATACTAATGGATAAATTCACATTTCATTGTTTCAAATAGATGGATATATGGTATCACGGGCCAGAAGTCATAGCTACAAGCCTTTGACAGCAATGCCAACACTCAAACAAATTATATAATTGAAGCTGACTACATAATTCCAAACCAGTCGTACCAGGAATTATATAAAGTACATTTTCCAGCAATTACAACACAACCTAAAATGGCAAGTTAACTTACCATTACAGGTATCATCTTGGCACATTTTGCCAGGGTTTGAACAGGAAAGCTGACATATTTGAGAGCCTGAGCAAGAATCAAAACTATCAGTACTTGTTAGATATTACTTCACAATTGCCAAGTTTTATCTGTCCAAATCTTATATGTGTTTGTTTTTTGCTTTTCATAATCTTCTTTGTTTAATGTTTACTACATGTATTCTCCTTTGTCTTTTACTTCATTTTCATATAACCATAAGGAAGACGATAAAACTTGCCTCATACTGACAAGTTGTTGTAAGGATGTTAGACACAGAAACAAGACAATACTTATGGAGTGGAGCTACAGGGTCCAATGCCTTCTTACTTGCCTGCAAATCAGAGAATTGGAGGCAAATGCTTAGTACAGTGTGTGACAAAATTCCCAAGAATCACTTGTCAAATACTGAAGATTTCATTCCCTGCCTCGTCAAGAGGCTCTCAAAAGAGATTAGAATCATGAACAGTACATTTGCAGTATTAGATAAATAAGTCATCTGCGCTTATAGCCTGGAATTGTACCAGTAGAACTCCAGCAGAGACGGCAGAGGTGGTAATCCGATTGCAGAAGACAAGAAATAATGAGTATATAAAATAGTCTTTGTTTGGTCCATAAGGAACTCTCATGATCTTTTCCTGCAAGAACAAATTTCATCATCATGTCAAGGAAATAAAAATATGCAATATCCAACTTAAACGCAGAAATGTGTTGCTTTATAAATATGGGACTAAACATGAGATCAAAGTAACCAGTTGAACAGCATAGATGCTGCTATACTTATAGATGCCATTTCCCTGAAATATGCAGCTAAAGAAACAAAGTGCAGACGAAACCTCAAATTACTTGTGTTAACAGGAGAAGATGCCCTTTTGTACTAAGTTGCATCTTCAATTTAAGAAACTGGAGAAGAGGATATAGATCAAGGAATTGAATGCTACAAAGATCATTGTCAACAGTTGTTTCCTATGTGATCACATCAATCCTTCATTTTTGGTGGGGTGGGGTGGGGTGGGGGGTATAAGTTACTATGAGTCTATTTAACAGGTAAACTCTGGAAGTAAAAGAAAGAAAATTAGCAGATTTTGCATGAGAATCAATTGAAAACAGAAAAGAGACATATAAACACAGAAAGAAGAGTTTTATGTGTTATACTGGTAAGCTGCCTAAGTAGAATTTAGATGACTATATTGCACGATGTGTTTCCCAATGTAGAACTGAAATGATGTTTAAATTACAACTGACAACATACTCGGGTCGAGTGTTAGTTAGGGCGCATATAGCCTAAGCACTTGAACTTTGAAATGGGCATAGGAACAGATTTGCAAAAATGACAACTGCTAGAGAGAATAAGTGAATGTAGACTAATTAGTTATTAATGAAAGAACCTAATATTTTGTAGTTTTCCTTTATGCTAATTTGTTTTAAGCATGCTAAATATAGTACTATGCTCTATTCCTCTCTCCATGTGCTCCCCTTCAATTCTTTTTCTTTTTTGCTTTTCTTTTTTGGTAGAAATAGAAGAAGGTGAGTTAGCTCTAATTCAAGAGCCCTTACTCAAAAGGGCTTCTCTTCCTCTTAATGTCAGAAGTCAAATGGTTAAGTCTACTGGGAGCAACTGGGCCAGACATTATTGATAGCAAAGTTTCTGTGGTAAGGTACAAAGCTTTTTGCCTAAGTCTCTGACAAACTTACTCAACTGGCACAAACAGAATGGCTCATCCAATGAGTGATGACACTAGCGGGTAAACTGCACAGTCTTGCTAGGTATAATCCAAGCTTACCTCTACCTCTACTGTAGAGAGGCTGTTTCTGATAAGACCATCAGCTTAAAGACAAAAGCCTAGAAAAAGATGTAATGGAAGTACAAGAGACAACAAAAAATAACAAAAACAATAGATAGTAGCAGAATAGTACTCTATACTACAACAAATAATACATTAATAAAATACTATAACTACATAAAACAACATATAGTAAAAGAAATCGAAGAAAAAGAAACTACAAGATTAATACTACAACTAGTAGTAGGACAACAAGACAATGCACTCATACCTACTAGTATAACGCACTTCTACCTACTAACCTTCTACCCTAATTCGTGTCCTCCATACCTATCTATCTAGATCATGTCCTTGATAAGCAGCAACTGCGAGTCCCCCCAATATTTCTTTGATCTACCTCTACCTATCCATAGCCAAATCATGAGGGACCAAGTCCTTTATAATAAAATGCTTTACACTAGAATTTAATACAAAAAATGTTCCTTTCATTGAATCCTAATAAGAAATGGAACACTTAAACTTCTAAAATAAGCAAAACTAAAGCATATTAGGCAAGAACTTGCCCAATGCTCTAAAAGCTTAAATACCCAAAGCTATTCCTCCATTTCCTCCTGTTGCATACTTAACATCAAAAGCTTTTCGGATTATCAAATTTGTTACAAGAATCTACATATTCAACCTAAAACTTTAAGGCAATGAGTAGAGTGGTTATCCAATCCTTTTTCAACTCCTTTAGATGCACTTGCTTATTCAATGAGAGCCTTTTATATATAACTCGATGTCCTTCTGCAAGTGTAATCTAAATCTGAGGTTCACACACGACTCCATGTAGAGCTACGAGTATGAATATTGGTGTGCCAAAGGTTGCCAACTTGACCTACTAAAGAATCTAAATATTTAAACCAAAATCTAGCGGCAATGAGTCGAGTCAACCAAGACCTTTCAAAACCCTTTCTATTTCTTTGTATATCCGATGTCGGATAAACAACTCAACAATGTTCCAACGCATTAGACAAAAACGTCTTCAAATGCTCTACGTAGTATACACTAATAACTAAAGCTTATTTTCCCCCCTTTTTTTTATGTCAATTACATCTGAATAAATTACCAAAGTTGCAAGTATTTATGTCAATTATTTTCCCCCTTACGGTCATCCGTAGTACTCTCTTCCTAATACATTTACCACTCCTACCAAAATAAGTACCGAGCAATACAATGATACTTAAAGCAATTATACATTTTCATAATGTAGAACATACTATATTTGTTTCACTTTATTTGACATTCTTTCTGTTTTAGAACATCCCCAACGCGATTGCACCATTTCTTTTCAATCAAACTATCACTAGTTCCAATCATTCAAATTTAAAAAAATTCAAACTACAAAAGTTGATGTACTTTTTATATCAATCCGACTTTGCAACCATCAATTTGCTATTTTCTTTCGCTACCACTGAAACGATATCTCAAACTCCATGCTCAGTCAAATAGAGTCATTTAAATTGAAATATATACAAAGTATGATCACACTTATTTCTAATCACATAAAATATGTAATGAAGATGATGATTATGAGAAATATGCCTGTAATATTCCGTAGATGACGAGAGTAGACATGATTCCGCCCACAGCAAAAACTCCTTTGAACAGCTTGTTGTCCTTTAACGGCGCCGATAATGACTCCGCCATATCCATCCAATCTACCCACCGCCGCCACCTCTATATTACAATACAACACACAAAACACCTATACGCAGCTGTGTGTGTTTCGTTTTACGTTATATAAATGTATAAAAGGGATAAAGGAGAAATAGAAACAGGAAGATCACCACGGATGAGAAGTCTACGGAAGGTCGCCGGAGTTCCGTTCTGCAGATCGCCGGTGATTTTACTCAGTGAAGAATGAGGTTTTAGACTGAGGGAAAGACCGCTTTCCTCTTTTTGATATTTTATTTTTTCGCTAATACACGTAAGATGAATGGGGCCCACTCTGTGACTGTAACGGTAAGGACAGTGAAACTTGAAGTTGAAATTGTTTGGTGAACATTTTCTAAATTGGATCGACTTATTCTAAATGATTTTAGTTAAAATAATATTTAAATATTTTTAAAGTATTTCGATTAATCTAACAAATACTTATAAGTATATAATGCTAAGGTAAAAGTTATATGCTCTTAGTATTGAACATTTGATCGTTGACGATTAGTACAAACTTTCCACTAAATGTATAGTATATGTAAGAAAATTATTCTGATCAAGGTAGTTGAGGTAATGAATATGAGGTTTAAACCAAACTAAGTCATTATATAAAGTCACTCACTAAAATAATATATTTTTCTAAAATTTTACAAAACTAGTATAAACGTATTCCACAGTAACGTTTTAGGATATATTTTATTTTTAAAAGTTGATGGCGTCAGATTGATAGATGGTACTCACAGTAACGTTTTACTCCTAAAACGTTACTCACAGTAACGTTTTACTCCTAAAACGTTACTTACAGTAACATATATCAACCTAATGCTGTTAGTTTTTAAAAAATTAAATATACCCTAAAACATTACCGTGAAATACGTTTATACTAGTTTTGTAAAATTTTAGAAAAATGTATTACTTTGGTAAATTGTTTTATATAATGGTTTAGTTTGGTTAAAAATTCTAATGAATATATGCTATTTTTTTCTTTTATGAGCAACTTTCACATATAGCAAATACAAAATTCATATTTGTATGTTATAGCAAAATTTACATAATTACGCTCCATAGTAAATAATGTATAATTCGCTATACACATATAAAGAAACCAATTGTACAATTCGCTATACATATACAAAAGAAAGCAGTTATATACAAATCAATTGAATAATTTGTGTATTTATAAAACGAGAAAGAGAGAAAGACAAAAGAAATTTGGGCAGAGGAATATTTGTATTGTATAATTATAAGTGTATAGGACGAAGATATATGAATTTTGCAAGTGTATATACAATTTTCTCTTGCTTTATACAAACAAAAACGCAATTCTTTTTGTTTCTGTTTGTATAAGTGTAGAGGAGAGGGGACAGATGGGGACAAAAATATATGTATATATACAAACTTTTTCTCTATTTATACAAACAAAAACGCATTTTATACACATGTGTTTGTATAAAAGCGAGAGGAAGTGAACGAGAGATTGAGCGAGAGAGGGAGAGTGCAAGCAAGAGTTCGAGAGAGAGAGGTGACTAGCAAACAGTTTGCTACAGGGCACATTAATCTATGATTATAGCATTTAATTTGATTTATTAATTTGTCATTATATACAATTTTCCCTTTATTTATTGATGTAGCTATACCATAATTTGTGGTGAATTTCTAGCTCACTCGACAATAGTAAATCACATGATAATTATTAATGTGCCAAAAGAAAAAATATAGAGGATCAAAAACTAAAAAATGAGAAAAGTTCTTTTATGTATATAGCTAACAAAGGATATTATGAACACATATTATTGTGTATTATCAAAAAAAGTCACAGCTCACTCACTCGATGTGAATGTGTTATTCAAATTTTATCTATTTTTCTTGGTATTTTTTGGACAAAAACACTTCACTTTTCGTTTACACCTTTTAAAATTCAAGAATCACGACTCAAAAAAAAAAATTCTAACAAACTAACAACATAAAGTAAGTTGCTTTGTTGACTACTACATTAACTATGTGCAGGGATGGCAATGAGGGGATAGGGGTGGGGTGGGGGGGGAGGTTACGGCTATGCGGGATGGGTTTGAGGTTGTGCACGGTGGGGGGGATGCGGGAGGGTTGAAGTGGATTTTTTTAAAATTAATGAAAGGCGAAGTGGGATGCAGGATGGGTTGAAATGGGTTTTGTTAAAAAGGGTTTTGGATATATGTTAATTTATATGGGTTTAATTGTAACATTTTTTTTAATGTTATAAGAGTGATAGAACGTTATTTATTAGGATAATTTCTTAAAAACTACTAAATATTCAAGATAGTAAATAAAAATACTCCAATAAAAGTAATTCAATTTTGTACGTGTTTCCAAATTAAACTCTAAAAATAAATTTCACTATCTTATTAAATTCATATAACTTAATGGAAAATGAATTTATTTTTAGACTAAAACTTAATTAGAAAAAGAAAATACTAAACAAAAAGTAAGTAGGGCCGGTTCATGCGGAACGAGTCTATGTTGGGCGAATTGAAAATTTTGCGAGTTAAGCTCAACCCACACTGCCCTGCCCGCTCCGCACCACCCTATTGCGATCCCTAACTATATATATGCTACCTCCCATCAAATATTTAGTGTGTAACATGTACTTGTTGATTTAGTGGTAATATTTGGAGGTCTTAAATTGAAATATATGAGTATTGACACCTCTTCACACAAGTTAAAAGTTTGATCTAGGGTTAAAATATTATGAAATGTCCTAAAGGTTGTATGTTCTAAATCCACTCCTGCTCAAAATATATTTTCTAGTAACCGAACAACATAATCTTGACTACTACATTGACTATATACTACCTTTTGGAGGTTTTAAATTGAACAAACACATCTGTTGGTAAAGCAAAATTTTCATCAGCAATATGTCAAACTATATCTCTATAAGACTGATTTTTCATGACAAAGTCAATACTTGTGCAATTAGTCTGTTTTCCTATTTCTAACAGTAAGTCTTTCCAACAAGATTTACAACATATGAAAAGAAATCACCAATCGAACAAAAATAAAAAGTTGAAACACAGATGTAATCATTAAGTTGAAAGGTAAAAAAATGAGTTTTATACAAAACTATAGTGTCACTGCAACCTTTGTCTCTTGTTAATATGGACAAAACTGTTACAATTTGGACCTAAATAAGGTGATGATGCACAAGCCATGTCAAAATAAGGTTGAGTATTGTTGATCAATGATGAACCATAACAATTATTCATCATCACACCTTCACAATTTTTAATGGTAACACGAGGAATATGTAAGGGTTTAAATTGAGGCGGATTACGCCATCTAGGTAACGGACCAGCTACAAGTAATGTTTGCAATAGTGGACCTGATTCAAGCACAGCTTGTAAAAACTTGCCCTGTTGAGGCAATGTCTTTCCTTTGACAAGTCTATCGATAATCAACGAACCTTGATCATCATCATTATCTACTTGTTGCGCGATAAGAGGAAGAGTGCTGTATTGTTCAGGAGACGAAACAACGTCCAAAAATGACTCGATAGGAGATAATGATGATGAATTGTTGTATGTTTCACTAAGGCTATTTGATTCAATTGTTGTTGTAGTAGTAGTAGTACTATCAATGTTGATGATTTGAGATGGATTTATTTTGTTGAGTAATTTGTGTAGGTGATCTTTTGCTTCATCTCTTTCTTGATAAGCTAATTTAATGAGATGGATTAGTTGATTGTTCTTCCTCTTTTCTTCACTTGCTTCCATATTGAGTCTTTCAACTTCAAGACTTGTGTATAAAAGCTTTTGTTTCATTTCATCCATAGACTACAAAAAAAATAATAATTAGTTTTTATAACTCATTTTCATATAGTCATAAAAGAAATAGTATTATAATGAATGCAATTAATAGAATTTTCAAATGCAACTACTAGTATTTTTTAAAAAATAATTTTTAGAATATAAATAAATTATATTCAAAAGTTGGGAGTGTTAGCAAAGTCATAAAGAGGGGGCCAATTGGAAGGTCATGGAGCTTATCAGTCAACTCCAAATATTATAAAATTAGAAAACTAGGGGTACTGTTCGAATTTTAAGAGTTTTTAAATATTAAAGGTAAATTCAGTTATAGAAAATTACGAAAGTTTTATATTTTTGAAATCTATGAAAAGAGTATATATGTCATAGTAATTAATAATTTAACATATCTAAAAACATATTTTAAAAATATAATTAAAAAACTTATTTGATTTTCAATTAGCACATAAACTAAGACAGGGGAAATAAATATGAACAATGATTAATCCTTAAAATTCACTAAAAATTACCCCTATGACACTAGTTATAAAAGTTTTACAGTGTGTAGTAAACCACTAAGCCTACAGTAAAAACAATTACTGCTGCATCTCAATCCAAATTGTATGAACTCAAATGGTCCATAAATTTCTATTTAAGCTCGTTTCAGTCCAATATTATAAAATCACCTATCGTGAAAAAATGAAAATTCAAACATCATTTACTTCAGTATTGCCCAATTCAATAACTCATCATTACTTTACATACAAAAACAAAGTAAAAATTGGACACTTTGAAGATGAGTTGACTGAAATTCGACTCTAAGAATTCAAGAAAAGGCTATCTAAAACAAACATTGAAATATAATCAAACAGAATTCCAACTTAAATGATGCATTAATAACCTAATAAGATTTTCAAAAAAAGTCAAATTTTAATAAGAGGCCGAAAGAAACAAAGAAAATAAATGACTTACCTCTTGGTAACTCCATAAAGAATCAAATTCTTCCATTTTTTTTTGATATGAACTTGAAAGAAGAAGTAGAGGAAAAAAGAGAAGATAATATTGAAAAGATATTGAGAGGGAAGTTTTTTTTATATAAGAGGTGAGTGAGTTGTAATATGTATATTTTATAGAAGGAAACAAGGAACAAAAAAGGACAAAAGAAGGTGTAGTATAGACCAACCAATCCCCACCATAGAAAAGGCAAAATTATTTATGGAATCTTAATAAAGACCTTCCATAAACATAAAATTTAAAAGATTTTACTAGTTTGTTTTATTTTTTTTTAATTTGACTAAAAAAATGTATCTTTCCTTCTTTTGAAAATTCTTTTATTTCAAAATTAGAGAGTACTATATTGATACATTCTATAAATATGTAATGTAAAAACACATTATTCAATTTTTATTTTATTTTATTTTATGAATTTTATGTCAAGTCAATAAATTAAAATATAAA